TCCTCGGTTATAGCTCCTCCAGAGAGCCTCCTCGACGCTCGATCCTCGGTCCTCGAAGTGCATTTAGAGAAATGAGATGTCCTTCAACATGGCGCGCTGAAATTCATTTCTGGGTTACTACCGGAGGACAGAGGAGTCGAGGAGGGGAAATGAGATACGGCCATAGTGTTCACCTGGTTACGGAGAATCAACTCATGTTTATACAAGATTTATATATATTCTTCATTTTTGTGTTACTCTGTCAAAAGCGCTATATAAGTGTCATGTATTATTATTATTATTATTATTATTATTATTTACAAACAACAACATTTAAAACAGCATTAACAACATATAGAGATATAGAATGACAGTAACTTTATAGAAAAGGTATTTATTCTGAACAAAGCGCTGACTGGTTACCTGCCACCACGGTGAGGTTCTGTTCTCTGTTGTTGCCATGGATACAGTGTGCCGCGGTGACCACCCATTGGCTGTTCACCAGAACTCCTCCACAGTGACTCTCTCCGTTCAACTGGACCAGAACCTGAGGAGAGATAAAGCTTTTCAGTTTCTGACAGACAGCAGGATCCATGTATCTGTGATCCTCTCCAGAATGGAAGTAGTCATCACATACAGAGCATCAGCTAGTTCCTAAATCATGATTGTCATATGTCTATGTCCATAGAGGCTGAATCATCATGTTAAACACATAGCTATCATATCATTCTGAGTTTTTCTAAAATTCTCAAAATTCTGAGTTTTTCTAAAAATCAAAACAATTCTGACTTTTTTCTCAAAATCAAAGAATTCGGACTTTTTCTCAAAATCAAAAAATTCTAACTTTTTTCTCAAAATCAAAACATTCTGACATTTTTTCTCAAAATTCTGACATTTTTTCTCAAAATCAAAAACATCTGACTTTGCCTCAAAGCCTGCTAGTGAGCAGGCTCTCTGAACTCTATGTTACTCTCACGTTGGAAGAGGACATTCAGGATTAACAGCTGTATATATATATGAAGCGTTCAGCCTGTAGGGGGCGCTGGTCTCTGTTTACCTGCCAGGGACAGTCTCCGGGGGGGCACTGTCTCCCCCCCACCAGCCGGGTGTGACCCACTGCACTCTGATCTGGGACCAGTTCCTTCGGAGGAACCTGACCGCAGGGGAACTCGACTGGAACAGAAACACAGAAGATATCGGTCAGAAAAGTTGGAATTATTTGAGAACATGTTGAATACCAAAACGTACATTTTATATACAATAATCACAACATAAATATTGCAGCTAATTGTTTTTTTATTTATAATGAATAGTAATAGTTATATTTCATAATTGTACTTATTTATCATGTATTTACTTTATACTAACCATATTGATTATTCTTTTTAAATAATTGCACTTTTGTATATGTATTTAATTATTTATTCCTCAATTAATAATACTTTTATAATTTTACCCGGTCCCAGATCAATCATTTGTTATTTAACAACAGGAAGTACTTTTAATTTCTCATCGTAACTTCTATTTCTATCAATCCAGACTCCGCTGCCCCCTGCTGTTTACGGACGTTACTGCACCTTCAGAAATGCTACACTAAGGTAGGTGTAACATTCACAGTAAATATATACGTATCTCTAAATAAGTGGTATTTTAGTATTTCTCTCACCCTGAGCGGCGCAGCTCCGCCCGTCTTCCCCCAGCTTGTATCCGTCGGCGCAGAAACACGTACGATGTTCAGCCGATCCGTCGCAGAACTGTTCGCAGTGTCCGTTCTGATAGAGACACTTCAGCGCGTCTTCTATCACTGCGGGGGGAAATACACATTAATGTATACTACCAATAAAATAACAATATATAAAGACGGGTAGGTAGCTAAACACATAAAACGTGTTCTTTACGAGAACTTTAGGAGAACTTTACGAAACAAAGTCGGTAGCTTTAGTCGTCATGATTCATCTCATATTAATTAATTGCAGTTTTGTGAGTTTACCTGTCTGGCACATTATGTGTACTTATACTACGAACAAAATAACAATATATAAAGATGAGTAGGTATAGCTAAACCCACTTAACGAGAACTTTACGAAACAAACGTAACGTCGTTAGTCTTCACGATTTATCTCGTATTTATTAATTGCAGTTTTGTGACTTCATGTTTATTTGTAAGTTTACCCGTCTGGCAGTACTGTCCCTCGAAGCCCTCGCTGCAGTAACATTTGTACGAAGTTTCCATGTAGACGCACGTCCCGTTGTTACGACACGGGTTCACCAGGCAGGGGTCGCGACCTGCGGACAGAAAACATCGCAATAAATATGGTTATGATCGGGTAACTCTGAGAGGAGGTGGACGAACAGACTCTGATCCCTCCAGAGGATCAATAAGTCTTAATCTGCTCTTAGAAGTGATCAATAAATACCTGAATAGATCAATGTGCTGATGATTTATTCTGCTGGTTCAAGAAGTACAAACCACCTGAAGGACGGGATAGAGAAATACTCACGTTCGTACGTCAGCCAGAATTGTTTCTGCAACGATAAAAACATATTTTATTAAACTTTACTGACCATAATAAAGACTTTTTCCATCTGTTTTCATACCAAAGAACTACAAAGAACACACACAAAACTACAAAATTAGACTCAAAACTACCAAGAAGAGTATAGTAAATAACCAGAATCAAAGCGTAGGTTAGCGTAGCAAAATAATTACAACAAACATGTGTCTGATGCAAACCAATATTTCTCTGTTTAACAAAGAACAACTTCATTACGGCAAATGAACTACTTCTACTTCTGTGTAACCGTTGGTCGTTGGCTATCATTTGGATTAACTTGATAGGAATATATCAAATAAAACGTTCCTAGAGTACGATAATACAGAGAGTTGGTAAAACCCCATATATCTAGTGAGCGTCTCACCGTCCTGTCCTCGTCCTCGAACACCTCCCTCGCCTCTTCGTAGGAACAGATTTCCTCGATGCACTCTCGCTCCAGGTTTCCCTGTTTCAGCTCCTCCAGGAAGCCGCTGTTGGCTCGACGCCATCTTTGAAGCACGATGTTCGCCTGCTGCCTCTCCAAAAACACTATTAAACATATTATTATTACATCCTGTCAGGACCTGCTGCCTCTACAAAAACACTATTAAACATATTATTATTACATCCTGTCAGGACCTGCTGCCTCTACAAAAACACTATTAAACATATTATTATTACATCCTGTCAGGACCTGCTGCCTCTCCAAAAACACTATTAAACATATTATTATTACATCCTGTCAGGACCTGCTGCCTCTCCAAAAACACTATTAAACATATTATTATTACATCCTGTCAGGACCTGCTGCCTCTCCAAAAACACTATTAAACATAT